CTACAGAAAAGAAAATTATGAAATAATTTAAATAATTAAAATCCTTCAATTCTTTTAAAATTTAATGTTATAATTCAAATCACCTTCATATTATTATTCATCTTTCAAAGTTGATAAGTTTTAATAATTGTAACCAAATTCTGTTAAAAAATAATAGAGATTATTTTTTTAACAGAATTTGGTTACACTTATTATATAACAATGACATTCTTGTCATATGACATCCAATTTAATATATTTATGGAAATGATAAAATGACGTATATGAAATATAAATACAAAGTCTGTAATGTGGAATATGTGAAGACCAGTTGCATGTTTAAAATTTTATTCTTTTATCAATGTTTCATTCAGTAAGAACATCATCAGAACAACTGAAAAAACTAATGAAAAATGGCAACCTTGCTATTCACAAATGCCCTGGTTAATTTGAAAATTAACATTAAATTAATAGTGAAAATATACAGAATAGAAAAAACTAGATGCATTTTTATTCTCATCATAGCAATAACAACTAAAACTATAATAAGATGTTATAGCAAGGGTTTTTGTTGCAAATGAAAGGGAAAAAAACAAAGATTAAGACTTCAATGGTGTGTATTGGTCCAAATGTAGAATATGTACATAGTTGTATGAAAAGTGGCAAAAATTGTTTATATGTGGTTCTTTAGTTGCCATTGATAAGGGTGTTTTTAGTAGAGGTGGGAGTTAACTGATTTCCTGGGTTGGTTGGCCAAAGTCACAGTTTGGGAGTGGTCATAGTGGGGTGTCTGATGATCTAGTGGTAATGTGTTAAGGCCAAAGTGTTGAAGCCAAATGGCCTATTATCAGTGAGTACTGCCATTCTTTATATCTTTCTTTCAACAGGTACAGGCTCCCAAGGGCATCCATTTTTTGGGGTTGGGGGCAGGGATGTTTGTGATTGGCTATTGCATTTTTAAATTTTTGTGGGGATTTGTTTTGTGATGCTCAGAGCCCTTGAAATGTATTTGTGAATCAGAAAGTGATCTTGATTAAAGTAACATAACAGAATAATAGTTGTTTGATGTAGCCTCTACTATCTAGATGAAGAACTTAAATACATTGTAAACATATTCAAATCACTATAATACCCTACTTACTTCATACTAACTGCAAACAAAAAAACTCTAAATATACATACAAACTGTAAATGTAAAAATCTGATACACATCAAGAATAAATGGAAAAAGATTCTTGATATTTGTCTTTACCCATAAATCCATCAACTCAAATAATTGTTGATAAACTCAAAGACCTTGGAATTAAAACTGTCCCAACCATATATGGGCATACCTCCAAAACTCTAGATGACCAGCACTTGGTAACTGACCTCACCTCTGACCTAGCTTTAACAATTCAGTAGGGAAAAAACTGGCTGGTCCCATTCAGTATCTTAAAACCAAACTAGTGATGTTCCACCATCACTGAGTGGACCCAGAACTTTCACCAATCATGATGAACAGGTGTGTTTTCTCAGGGAGGCCCTATCCATCTTAGAGGAGATTGTACAGCGCTCACTACCATACAAAGGGCATGTAGCAGTTTAGTACTCTTTTCCTTGTTTTTAGTGAAATTTTCTATTTCTTAGTACTCTGCTTAGCTTTTGGAATGCTTCCTTGGCTATCTCAATACACCTTCAGATTTCAGTGCCACACTTTCTGTCTTCTGTTAAAACACTTCCAGGATGGAAAAATGGTTGGTTTGATGTACTGCTCTGTTCTGCTACCCACTACTTTTACAAGAGCCAGATTATGTTGAAAATGGAGTTCTGCTGCCTAGTCTTCACTTTCTAGTTTTGATAGATTCTAAATATGTCTAAACATACGTGTGGGTAACAAATTATTTCCCATCATGCAATCTGTTTCTCATAGACAAATTGTCACAAGTCACTCACTGTTCTATTGCTATTTCCATGGAAAGTGTTCAGACAAACTACATTTCTTATTTCCATCAGTTCTAACCTTCACAGCTAAAACCTGACATGCTATATACATTGTAACGAACAACCCTCATTCCCTTCATTCTACTGGTGAGATATAAGTTCCTTCTTCCCACAAACTGTTGCTTTGAGGATGCTTCTCTGATCACTACAACTTAATCAAATTGAAGGTTAACCATTCTTTCCCACATACACTCATAAATTGTGCCTCTTACTCTGTAACCCTCTACCTCGAGTGCCTCATGAGCCTTGTAAATGTTGAACAGTACTGTAAAAAATAAATAAAAGATTTATTTGATAAGTCTAAAAATAAGAATAATACACAGTATTCAAATGTTGCTATATATATATATATATATATATATATATATATATATATAATAATCACATGTGACAATATCTATAGTGATTTTCCAAGTGCAGCTTAGATGTGGCACAAGCCCAAATGTATGGGGAACCCAGGGAGGATCAAACTCACTACCCACTTGTAATTGTTCTAGCAAGACAAGCTTGTTAACCATTACATCGCCTCGAGGTGCCTTAATGATTTTCTAAGTGTAGCTTAGATGTGGCACAAGGCTGAATGTATGGGGCACCCAGTGAGGATCGAAATCACTAATCAGTTGTAACTGTTTTAGCAAGACAAGCTTGCTAACCATTACACCACATGAAGGTGCTTGTGTGACAATATTTATATTCGTGAAAAATTAGAAAACTTAAAGAAATTGCATCGAATAACACAAAAGTGCTATAAAAATGGAGGATACATTAATTTCTTTATACTCACATGTACAATATACAAAAAAAAAAATCTGTGGAGAGTGATGAATGATTAAAAGACATAAGCACTTTTTTAACTCTTAAAAATTTGGGTTAACTTATATTATGGAATGATTGAAAAGTAATCCTTATTTTATGTATGCTGTACTTGTAAAAATTATAGTCTCTTTCCTCTCTCACTTTATGAATGTTAAAAAATGAATTATAGTTAATTAGATTTTTTTTTCCTTATCACCACCATACTCTTTTCAGGCTTATGGCCACATCATGTTGAAACACCAGTTCTTGTACAATCACCGAAGTTAAGCAACATCGAGCCTGATCAGTATTTAGATTAGAAATCCCATATGCCACTAAAAAAACAAACAAAAAAAAATCCTCTTTTTATATTCTATTGTACCATTCTGGTTACAAGACATTCACAATGATTAATAATTTTAAGGGAAGTACGGTTTTGAGCCTTTCTCTAGGGTATAATTATAGAATAGTAACTAAAATTATTCTTACTTGCTAATATAGAAGGAAATAACTCAAAAAGGTAAAATCATCTTTAAAAGTGATGATGGAAATATACATTGAAATATTAAGAATATTAATGAGATGTTTTTTATCTGTGATACCTATGAGAAATGATTGTAATTGCTAAAATCAATTAATTCCTCTTTTCAGACTTGATTGTTCTCACTCAGATATATGGTCTATAGATCACTCCATCTACCTGTTACAGATTTGGCCTCCATTACACTTGCAGCCATCCGCTGTGTTGAGCATTAAGCATTTCACTCAATGACCCAGCAGGTGTTGGGTATACATTCATTCGTGGCAGGTGATTGGCTAACCGTGACTTGACTGGTCATAGCAATGGAAAAACCCGTGTCACTTCAACAACACATCTGTTCATTGTGGAGACTGTCGAACACCTTCTCTCCCTGTTGCCCATGTCACAAAAAAATAAAATCAGTATCTCCTCCTAAAATGTACGGAGCAATAATTCCAGACATTTTCAGCATTCAACATCTTATTTTTATGTTTTTAAACGTTTATTTATTAATTAATTAACTGAATAAGAAAAAATTAATTATTAAATAATTGCAGTTTGAGTTAAGTTAATATGAAAAGTGTGTGCAGGTGGCTTGAGCACACACAATTGTAGTCGAGAAATATATTTGTGTTTTTTTTTTTATGTGTATGTGTGTGCCTCCAGGACTTCAGAAAATTAAAATTTATTTGTTATCATTTTGGACTACAAAATATCTGTCCCACTCTATTTTAATATTAATGGTGTAAGAAAAGAAAAAAAAAGAAAAAGAAAAAAGAAAAAAAAAAAGTAAAAGAAAAAAAAGAAAGAGAAAAAAGAAAAAGGAAAAAAAAGAAAAAAGAAAAAGAAATAAGTGCTCCTAATTTTTGAACATGCCAAAGTCAACATCTGTGTGTCCAGAAGCAAAAATGCAACTGGTCAGTCCAGTTGATGAAATTAATGGAAAGTTTTCTTTTGGTTAGGCAGAAGGTATAGTAGCTAAGTAATCCATTCACTTTCACCAACTGTTAGTGAGTGGCAAGAGATATTGAATGATTGAGTGGAAATAATTGGGTCATTGATTTTTGGTTGTATTTTTTTTCGGGGGGTAGGGGGGGTATGTTTTTTTCTTCTTTCTTTTGAATGAAATACTGAATGGAAGTTGGGTAGATACCCTGAAAAGAAAAACGTAAACTCTTGAAATATAATAAGCAATAAGCTGTATTTACACTACAGTTTCGATATTTGTAATAAGATAAAAACTAAGTAAAAAGAAGTGATGGGAGTAGCTATTTAATTTAATTAGAAAAGATGAGAGTAATAAATTTAAAAATACATTATTATTTCTTTTGTTGTATGTACTGCCCTTTTTATACTTTATTGATTACAAACTGGAAAGTTTTTAATCAGCATTGATTTAAAAATGTAATGTAAAAAACAAGGTTTATGTATTCGTTAATTCTGCTTGTTTTAAAATGTGTCTTGTTCAGTTTTACTTTATTGCTTTCATTATCACTATTAAACTTTTAATTAATTCAATTATTGATACAAGAAAAAAAAAAGTAACGTTTGGAAAGAAGAAAAAACAAAAACGCTGAATAATGTAAAAATTCCGGTGGTGGGGGGGTAAGCTATTTTTTAATGGGGGAATGAAAAAGAGAAAGTATTTTGGGTTTTGGGTAAGGAGAAGAATGAATGAAAAAAAAAAGTAAAAATAAAAAGAGTAAAAGAAAGAGTGTTACTGTTAAAAATACAAGAGATACAGACGGAAGAGACAGGAGACAAGTATAAGAAAATAAAAATATTTATGGAAATAGGAAAATGTAGAAAGAAAAAAGAAAGGAAGAGAAGAAAGCGAAGGGAAGAGAGAAATTAATGAATAATATGAAAGGAAGGGTGAAGCGGAGAAAATGTTTGTAGGAGAAATTGACATAAGAAGAAAAAAGGAAGTTATAATAAATAAATACGAAGAGGGGTTAGGGCCTTTGTTGCGAGTATCAAGATGGCTGAAAGAGGGAGAAATATTAAAACGTATAGTAGAAAAACGGGGAAAGAAGAGAAGAAGAGTAGAGAAGAAAGAGGAGGAGGAGGAGGAGGAAAGTTACATGAAAAGATACCTTTTTAACTGACTAGTGAATCGTAGAGCCCTTTTTGCATTGATCGGAAATCATTTTTTCTTACTCCAGATTTTTTTTCAGCATATATCTGTTTTATTGACTCTCCAGTCGTCAGCTGTTCTCACCGCTGATCCACTCGGCTAATAATGTGAACATTAGTGGGTATTTATTATTTATTTGTAACAGGTTGTCGCTCGTTACGAGAAGGGACTGGAAACTAGACATTTAAAGTAAAAAAAGGAATGGGTCAGAAACAAAAAACACATTTTTAGTCGTTTTACAATAGGATTTTATTGTCAATAATGTTTTTCATTTACTTGATTTCTTAAGGAGCGGGAAAGAAACGCAATAAGAACATCGGAAGAAAAAGTTACGCAAAAACACATTTATATTTTATTTATTTATTAATTAATGCCGATAAAAAAAAAGTTTCAAGTTTTTGTAAAAGTAAAAAAAAAAGGACATAGAGTGGAAAGAAAAAAGGAAGTAATTGCATGCAATTAAAAACTTGCGTACAATTAAAAATTAAATAAATAAATCGTATGCAATAAGAAACCTTTCGTGTACTGTACACAATACTTCGATAATCTTCTTCTTACACAATTATTGAATTCTTTTTAAAAACGAACAACAAACATCAAAGAACAAAATTCTAACGGACGGTTATTGCTTTCATTTTTAAATAAAAATTTAGAAAAGATACGGGTTTCATTTTTTTTAAATTTAATTAATTTTTATTTGTTTCTTTTTTGGGGATAAAGAAATATGTAGAAGAAGAGTCTCCCAAATTTGGCATTTTGAAAATATTGTCACAAGACCGTCTGCTTAGCTGTGAGCTGATTACCCGAAAGGAAGCACTACGGAATGAAAGAAGGGCGGAAAAAGGGAGTTTGTGTTGGAAGGAGAGAAAAGAGAAAAAGTGAATGAGGAGAAATACGAATAGGGAAGAAATCCGATGCTAAAAGTGAATGATTACATGTGAAACCAGGGTAGGGAAGTAAGAAATAGGGGTGGGATCAATAAAGGGGTTTTACGTTGCCTCTCCTACCGCGATCGGATAGATGAACCCGGAACTTATGAATCGGTCCGTGGCATACGCGTATTGTTTGTCGGGGGTGGAAACTACTGTTAATGGGTTTTAATGTGACAACGCAACAATCGTAGCAGCAGCAGCAACAACAACAGGAAAAAGATGGGGGAAGATCAGGGGCATCCAGTCGTACACCCTTTTCTGTATGATGTGTGTGTTGGTGGGTGGGTGTTATACTGCAGAGTGTGTAACTAATGAAAAGCGTGTATAAATTACAGACGTGTATGAATGAACGGAAAAAAAACCTGAAAGAAATGATGAAGGTGTTAGTTTCGTTGACCACACGCAGCGGCACGCACACACACACACGCACACACACACTCGCGCGCATGCGCGTGTTCGCTAGCAGTTTAGCTACATAACACGTGTATTATTCAAGATTGTTAGTGTTTAACAATTAATTGAATTACAAGCACATGGAAATTGGGGTTGGCATATGTATGTTTATGAGCCTGTTATTCCATTGAAATGTTGCTATCAATTTTTTTCTGCACCATTTCCAGTTTATACTTTTTTTTATTTTATAACACACACCCTCTCTAAATGACATGACATTTAAGTACACAAGGTAAAACAGGCACATCTAATCACCTTTTTTTTTCTTTTTTACTTCAAGCGTGATTAGCGTATGTAAAAAAGAATGAAATAACAAATAAATTACTCATAAACAATTTCCAGTCTTCTATGTGCCGTGTCCCTTCAGGACGCTGGTGAAAGGCTCTTCACAATTTTCTGTTCTTTGTCGCTCTTAATAAATTTTGTTGTCTTTTTTTTTACTTTCTCTACATTGCTCCACCATCTATTTTAAAAGCATGCTAGGTAGGTTATGCATTGTTTTCCTCTGTCCCTCTTGCCTTCAATCTGTCCTGTGAGTATCAAATTTTCCAAGTCCTCTTTTCTCATTATGTGCCCTAGAAATTCCAACTGTCTCTTTCTGATGTTAAATATAAGTATCCTTTTTTGTTTCCATTTTTTCTAAAACTTCGTCGTTGCTCACATGTTCGGTCCATGGCATTCTCAATATCCTTCTGTAGAACCACATTTCTGTTGCTTCTTCATCTGAGGAGATTGTCCAACATTAACTGCTATATAGGAGGACTGAATACATCCCTCTCTCTCTCTTACACACACATACCCATCACAAATACATTATTTTTGTAGAGTGTATTATACACTCACTTCACTTGTGACAAGATTCAAAATTGATATTAAAAATATTTTTAATGAGAACGCATGCCCATAAAATCCCCTTCCATCTCCCTTTATAGATTGGCGTGTACAAACAGGTAGTTTTTAAAAAAACAACTAAAATTTCAACCTTTCTTTCTATCTCCCTCACTGCGTTTGAAATTCGCTTTCTCAATGAAACAAAAATTATGAATCAACCGTAAGTAGACGGGTGCATACCCATGTGTGTGTGTACACATTTGTTTGCCCAATTTCAGAGGGATAGAAAGAGCGGAATGCGTTCGAATATGCACTTTAAAAACGAACACACACACATGCGTGTCTGCGCGCACACACAGATTCGTCCACCAAGACGACAAATAAGTGAATGATTGAATAAGTACGCACGCACATACACTCTCTAGAGTACTAGAGAATATGTACATGCGTGTTGTATGAGTTTATTGAGCATAAATAATTCTATGCGTACATTTTGAAAGAAAAAAAGAGAATATCTTTGTGAATACAATGAAGAGTCATGTGTAGTTGGTACTGCAGAGGAGGCATTAACGTATTTTTATGGCGCCCGTGTGTGTGTGTGTGTATGTGTAATGTACAGTTTTTACACATGCATTAGTAAATAAACTCATTTAACAACGCTATTGTATTGTTACAATCTTTTTAAAAAAGATAAACTGATTAGATTAATTATTAATATAAATTTCTTTTTAAATTTATGCAAGCACACATACACACACAGAGGCAATTGCACAGGTACACATACGTACACGTTCGTTATGCTCACAGTCAAATATCGTATCGGTCGGTGGTCGCATTTATTAAGCTTGCGCGCGCTTGCACACACACACACACACACACACACACACAGACACACAGACACACACACACACAGACACACACACACACACACACACACACACACACACACACACACACCACACACGGTTAAGCACGTACGCACGCATACTCCCCTGTGCCAATTTGAAAACCACCCATTACAATTGAATACATTGATCCTTACTGAAAGAAAAAATAGATCAATAAATAAACCGTAACGATCTGTTCAGCTGAGCGCCCTTCTTTCGGGACTACCTCTACCTTGAAGCTTCTTCTCTTGTTGTGTAAACGACGCAATGAATAGAAGCCGATCTATGAATGGATTGCAAACGGCTGCGGTAAAAGGGATCGGATGTCTGAATTAATCTCTCTCCTTTAAAGATAGCGTAAAGGGCACGGGCTCTTGCTCATTTAATAAAGTCAACATTTCCGAAATCAGCTGATATATACTGAAATTTAGTAAGGGGTATCAAAGACTTACAGTAAATCTCCAAGACTTCCCCACTCTCATTGTATTCAGTTATGTTTTTAAAATTATGCTACTAAAATCTACAAAACCTAAATCACCGGGAACCAGTGCGACTACTACAAAAAGTTTAAAGAGCCTTAAAGAGCCTATGGCTCTTTCTTTAATCAGCTGATTTTCATTTAGGTTCAATCTCTCGAGAAGCTGTGGTCAGTCTAGTACTTAAAATTCAAAAATATAAAATATTACAATCCTGCCGAACAGGTGTACACAGTGTACACAGTGTACACTGTTATTGCTTTTTTCCTGATTCACTGTTAGTGCTAGTAACAGTGTTATTGTTAAGTATTAGTGCTTAGTAGTGTTAAATTTTTAAATGTTAATTCAGTTCAGGTTGGTGGTTTGAGAAGAGCTGGGATCTAGGCTTTAGAAATAATTTAGATTTTAGCAGAAAAAAAAACAAACTTTTATCTGCACGCTAATAAAATCCGAAAAATCGTACATTTACAATTAAAAGCATGCCAACCATAAGTTGGATCGTGGCTCAACAGGTAATAACGAATATTTTTTGAACCGGCTGATTTGACAGTTTGTTCACACTCACACATACGCACGCGCGCACATACACCACTCCACCACCACCACAGCAACAATAACAACAACAAGGACAATTTTTTTTAAACAGAACACTGTTCTCTCCCCAATATTCGCTGCAGTCAGTCTTGTAATGACAAAAAATCCCCCCACCCCCAAAACGACATCCAAGCTGTCTAAGAAGGGTATGGGGTTTATGGTGATTTTCTAAGCGTAGTTTTAGATATGGCACAAGGCCGAAAGTATGGGCACCCAGTGAAGATCAAACTAACTACTCAGTCGTAATTGATCTAGCTGATAAGCGTGCTAACCATTCGACCACGTCGAAGTACCCACTCCTATGGGGTTATGGCTTTATTGTTCGTGACATCATTAGAGTTTTTGAGCGAGTGAGGAACGGTGTTTTTTTTTTACTATTTTAGTTTACTTCAGTCCTGTTTTTGCTTTTGTTCTAACTTCAAAAATCTTCTGTGCCCAGTGGTCGGTCTAAAAGTGGCATCAAGCAGTCACGGTGGGGTGGATCGACAGGAGTAGTGACAAGAGAGATTTATTTAACAAAGAAGAGAAATAACGATATGAAACGGTTAATTAATAATTGTTATGGCGTTCACAGGAAGGAATTATTTAAATCAAATACAGGTTTGGACAATAGAATAAAATGCGACGGCCGAAATTAATATTCGGGTAAATTAGCGCAAGAAACCATGCCTACTATAATACACCAACAGCAACAATCAATAAAATTAAGCTTAAGCACAAACATCTTCACACACACACACACACACACACACACACACACACACACACACACACACACACACACACACACACACGTACACATACGGGCGCATGCACGCACTTTTCATTCTCTTTCTCCTTCAAAACGATTCAGCCGGTGTAAAAATTCCCCCACATGCACACATGCAGATAGTTACTAAAGGGAGTAATGACGAATACACATTCATAGGCGTACGAGGTGGGTGATTAGAAGCGCGCGTGGGGTTGGGGGTACGCACCCCTCTACACACTCCTCCATACACGGCAAACAAATGATATATTTTCAGCCGCCACCCACACCGTAAAATTTCTTCCCATTTACATTTTTACGCATATGTACACACAGATTCACACGTACACACACCTTTTCTTCTTTAATTCTCTCTAACTACTTTTTCTTTCTTTCTTTCTTTCTTTCTTTCTTTCTTTCTTTCTTTCTTTCTTTCTTTCCGGTGAAAAAATACGCACACACCAACAAACTAACAGTTATTGCAAAAAGCCGCACATTATACGCATACACAGAACATACACACGCACGCACGCACACAAAATCAAGTACACACACACACACACACACACACACACACACACACACACACACACACACACACACACACACACAGAGTATATATCCCACCTTTGCTCTCTTCTTTTTCTTGGAACAAATCAGCCAGCATAAAAATACGCACACACGCACATGCAAGCAGATACATGCAATTACGCATACACAGAAAACACGCAAACGCACACACTCGCGTGTGAACGCGCCCACACGCACGCATACACACACACGCATACACACACACACACGCATACACACACACGCACACACACACACACACACACACACACACACACACAATCTATCCCACCTTCTCTCTTGGAACAAATTAATCGGCGTAAAAATATGCACAGATGCATGCAAGCAGATACACACAATTCGTCACAATTATAAATATAGTTCATACATTTTTTATTATAGATTTTTGTTATTGTTCATAAATTTATAATACTAATAGTAGGTACGTACAAATTCACACACTTGACTAAATCGTCCTCATGTTCTTCGCTGTCTCTTTCTCTCTAACTAAACGAATCAACAGGCATAAATTATGCACACAGGCAAAAGCAGAAACATACGTATAAAGACCCATATTTTAAAGTGTATACACACATGTATAGTACACAAATTTATGTATACTACATTCAAATAGTATCAGTTTCTCTGTCTCCTTCAAGCGCAAAAAATGCTTAATAAAAAAGAGATTAGCAAATGAAATACATACACACGTACACAATTATTCATTTGTTAGTGAAGTGTGTAATCACGTATATACAACCAATTACAAAAACGCGCACACACACACACACACATATACACACATACGCGCACACACACATTAAAAATATATATTCATATCTGATATTATTAGCATCTCTTCTCATAAGCACATACATTCTAACACTACACAGTGTACACACGGGAACACAAAATATGCAGCACTACAAAGAAATATGCACATTGTAAAAATAACACACACAGATAAACAAACGCACACACATATGAACACGCATATTTATATATCTGAATGTATAATTATATGCACATACTAAAATACACTAACATAGGCAAATACACACTATGAACTAATCAACACATAGTCTGTATACAAAATGCACATATAGGAACAAAGAACAAAGAGATATTTACAATGAAATCCATAAAACATGTACATTTGAACACACACAAAGATAGATTTACAATCCACAAAACATGTACATTTGAATAGACACTTGTATATGCGCATACAGAAGGAAAATAGAAACATTTGTATGTGTGCATACACTTATGAGCAAAGTGGCACACTCCCCCACAAATCCTTTGATATGATTGGTTGATTTCAAAAGGAGGTTGTTTGAAGACACCTTTTTCTTTGACAACTACTACCTATATGTGGGGCAAGGAAAGGTGTCACTATTCTCTAGATGATTTTTGCCGGCTTTTGTCCAAACCTGCAACAACAATGTGTCTTTGTGTGAGCGTGTATGTGTTTTTATTTTATGTGGATAGGAGTTCTGAAATTCAATCTTCCCCCAGGATAGAAAAAAAGTTCTTAATATATGTATGTGTGTGCATGTGTCTGTGTCCTCATAATATTTTAATATTAGTAAATGTATCCACACTCTCACACATACACATAGATTATATATATATATATATATATATATATATATATATATGATTGTGTGTGTGTCTGTGTCTCTGTGTGTGTGTGTATAGTACCATATTTGGGCAATAATCCATCTCTAATACATGTTTCATTAAATTGTCAGAAAAGGTTTTATTGTCATTTTATGTGAATGTGTGTCCTAATAATATTTTATTATTAGTAAATGCACCCACACTCTCGCACATTCAAACACACACAATTTATAAAAACACAATAAAAACATTTATTACATTGCGATTGATTTTTAATGAAATATACATAATGGCCAGAGAATTATTTTCCAAGCACACCTGTCTGCGAGAGTGGCTAACCTGTCCCTGTTGTGCAGATTTCCGTTCAGGCAAATTTGTGTCTATTCAAAACCTGTGTTTTATACTGTAGCGTATTGTGCTCTGATGAATTTCATCAAAGCAATTCAAGTGATTTTATAAAAAATATATAAATAAAAAATTCTTACATTTGCCTTGATAAAGTCCATCAGTATATTTTTTTATTTATATTAGAATTTTTCATATACATACATACATACATATATATATATATATATATATATATATATATATATATATATATATATATATATATATATATGTATGTATGTATAAGCAACTAATGTATTTTTTAATCTGATATTAATTCTC